GGATCAGCTCCCTGGCCAGGGATTGAACTTGTGCTGTAGTGGCTGCCCATAACTTCGTAGTGCTGAGACTTAACCCCTTGCGCCACCAGGAGGCCCAGTTTTACAGATTTTTTCCTAATGTTTAACTCTCATATGAAATTTATTGCATTTCATGGTGTGAAGAATGCAGCCAATGTAATCCTTCTCCATGGAAGTGTTTTATGAGCAGTATTTAATGAACAGTAATTTCTCACAGGGTGCCTCCAGCAATGTCTTAACCGCCCGCACTGAGAATCAGTTTCTGGAAAAATGGGGGTGATAGTGCTACCTACCAGACAGTCTTGTCCCAAGGATGGAGCCATAGCCTGTGAGAAGTTCCTAGCACATGGCATGCCTGGTAAATCGGTGCTTAATAAGTGATGTCTTCCTTTTTGTCTCCTTTCCTTCCTTTTTATCTGCATTGGCCTTTCCCACCCACCCCCCAGAACCCTCTTATGTATCAGTGCATTCATTTAAGCCTATCTGTGATGATCCAAAGGTCTTCTACTCCAGGTTTCCATTAGGAAGCTAAGTAGAAAGGAGAAGGCAGGGGGTGAAGGCGCTTACCTTGAAAAGCCCACCCTCATCACACATGTGCGTGGCTCTCCAATAACCCCACCTTCCTGCAGCCCCCTCTCTCCTGATCAGAGAATCCTCTTAGGAGCTGTTCTTCCATGGCCTCACAGTGCTCCCCTCCCCAAGTGGCCATGTCAGCTCTTAAGGGGAGATCTGATTTTTGAGGACAAAGCTCCATGTGTGGGTTGTTTTATTTTGGGGGTGGTGTGGGGGTAGGAGTTGGCCTCGGGTTTGCTGCATTCCAGGAAGAGGGAGGACTCTGCTCTCCTCCGATGAGTCATGGAAGAGAAACTTCGAATGTTTGCAAACATCTCCAGCCAAGCCTCAGCAGTCTGGTGTGCCGCCCATCCTCCATCTGTGCCGGACCCACCTGAGAAGGCGAATGTTAAACCTGAAATCAGCCAAAGCAAGGCCGGGAGCTTTACCACCTTCGAGATGGACAGCAGAAGCAGTTGTTTCTTTTGAGACACAGGACAGGACCTCACAGTGCATCTGCCTCCAAGTCAGGGCATGAGCCGGTGGTTCTAAGAGACCAAGTGAGAGAGCAGGGCTGTCCCAAGGGGCAGGGGAACGAGAGCATTTGCAGCAGCCTCACTTCAGCTGAGGGTGAGAGAGCCAGAGAAGCAGAGGTGGCCCAAAGGGTGAGGAATCCAAGGGCAGGGGAGGAGGGGAGTCTTGCCACTGAAGACTTGGAGTGTCTTTCCTGGAGAGATGAAGGCTGAGCAGGCTGAAGAGGGACATGAGCAGGTGGGGGCTGTGCTGGGCAAGGACCATCGCTCAGCCCAGCCTGGGGAAACTTGGGGAGCCAGATGGGGCTCATGATGCGTCCTCCCAGATGGAGCAGATCAGGCTCGTCAGACGCACTTCCCTTAGGATACACAGTGTCCCCCTCCTTCTTCCTCTCCCAAATCGAGAGAGCATCACAAGGTGACTTGGGCGGGCAGCCAGCCTCCACAGCAGGATCACTGTGGGGAACCTCAACCAGCCTCCACGCACCCCCCCACCCCCTTCTCCTGTTGTGGGACGTGAGGGGAGTGAGCTGGTCAGCTTGGGAACAAAGATCCTATTCTAGGAATGTGTCAACTGCAAACCTGTCCACTGTATTCATGGTCCTTGGATCTCTGCCCCAGGGAAACTGACTTGCCCTGCCCGCAGTGCTAGCACTCACTGCTGGGCAGCACCCTGGCACCAGCAGGGGAGGAGACTGAGGAACTCCTCATTTAAATCTAAAGCCACATTTAATCACTGCTCATTTTTCTACCAGGCACAGGAGGCCATGTCATCTCTGCATTTTAAATATTTCACTGTTTAAGGTCTGAGCTCCTTGGGGGGACGGGGGGGAGGGGGCGGAGGGGAGATGGTATGTGTGTGTGTGGAGGGGGTAAGGGAGGAGAGTAGTGGAGGAGAACTTTTGAAATCTTTCCACAACAATCAAAGAACAAATGACTGGAAGGGAAAATAGCTGCTATATTTAAATGACATTATCCCATCAGGGAGCTATGACTTTGGAAACCTTGCCACACACTTTGGTTGGCTCTGCTGTAGGAGTTTTGTTTTTTTTTTTTTTTTTATGGCAATATTTTTTTTCCAGAGTAATAATTGCAGAGGACATGAAGAGCCCCCTTAGTCAATTTGGTAGGTGGGTACTGACCTCCTGCTGGATGTCCGGCACTGTGCTGGATGTCCGGCCCCAGGGTCACTCGGAGCTCTCAAAGCTCATAATTATTCTCCATTCATACTTGATTGTGCACCTTCCAAGTACGTACAATCCCTGTTCCCCCTTAGATAAAACAAACAAGCAACTTAGCATGGTAAGTGCTATAAAGAGTACATTTCATAATGTATTTACTGGTTTGCTGTTCCTTTGGTCCAAATGCTGTTCCCCTCAGCCCTGAATATGCAAATGGCTGTGTATTAGTCATGGCTCAATTCTCAGAGAGAGGCGGCCATTCTACCATTCTACTACGGTTGTGCTTCCCACTTGTCAATCACAGATATGAGTCCATGACCCTGTCAAGGTCAGGGAGACAGCTGGGACCAGGGTCTAGATATACAAATGTGTTATCAATGTAGAGGTAGCATTTAAAGCCATGGTTCCCTAAGAAAGATGGTAGAGGGAAGAATGCCAAGTCCTGAGCCCCAGGACACTCACTCCACATGTCAATTTGAGCAGAAGGTGGGAGGCGTATGAAAAGAAGGCTGAAAAGGATCAGCCAGAGAAGTAGGAGGAAAACCCGAGCTGCTGCACTATAGCGGAGTGATGAGGTCTGTGTGGGACACAGAAGGAACAACTCATTTCCGGGGTGGTGAGGATGGGCCTGATGGAATGGACTGTCTTCAGGGAAGGCTTTCAGGATGCACGGGGATTCAGACCTTCCCCTTGAAGCACATGGAAGTAGAAGGAACAACTTGAGCAAAGGTGCAGAGGAATAGAGAATGGTTCCTAGTGGCAGGAGCCGAGATGTGGCGGGGAGGCCATGGTGGATATGCGGCTGATGAAACTGAAAACTGCAGTGGAAGAATCCAGGGCTTCAGCCAACAAGGTTTCCATCCCAGCATTTCCTGCTTCCTTCTCAAACCAGTTAGATCTTTGAGTTTCCTCAGAGAAGAGGTCATCTTTTGTTTTGCCAGCCCAGGGCTCATTCCTGGGACCTTCCCTAGGGGTATTGTTTTCCAGGGTGTGGGTCCTGAACTCAAAGGATCAACATCACCTGGGAACTTAATAGAAATGTAGATTCTTGGACTTCCTCCCAGATCTACTGGGTGAGCACTCTGAAGGGAGGGCCTCCAGATGATGTGGCAGCAAGCTCAAACTGGAAACCCATAGCTTTAGGATACCGCTCTTCAACCACTTTCCTTCCCTGAAATTCTGAAGCAGGGGTCCTGCTTTTAAGGGTGGGCACATGAGGGGCCTCCCTGGTGGCCCAAGTGGTTAAGTCTCAACACTTTGAAGCTTTTCTTCAGCCACTGAAACATGAGTTCGATCCCCAACCAGGGAGCTGACCCACATGGCACAGCAGACCTCTCCTATTTCACCCACTGCTCCCCTCAGCAGTGGATTTCAGTCCGTCTGCCTGTTCTGCTCCTGACTCTGTCTCTGGTGAATCCTCTCACCCCTGCACCTCTGGCCTCTACCCCTGTTCTTATATGAATGAATAAATAAATGTATTTTTTTAAAAAAGTATAGAAGAACTGGGGTACAGGCCAGAGGTGGCGGGGGTGAGAGGATTCACCAGAGACGGATTAGGGAACAGAACAGGCAGATCTATTGAAATACACTGCTGAGGGTGTTGTAGAGCAACCCCGATACATAACGGGGTGCCTGACTGTGGGTCCTCACCCGCGCGCTTAAAAGGACTTATCAATGCTCTACTGCAGGCACACGTGAAAGGTTCATAAAAGGTTTATTTACAAGGGAAGGGGAAATGAGGAAATGTACAGCTCTGGGAGAAAAGTGGGAGACAAAGTTTTAAATGAGTCCTACCCAATCCGCCGATCAGGAATCCCAAAATGGCGCTCTCAGAGTTGGCCGCCAGCCAGGAGCCGTGAAGCCAGGAGGCGAGCGATCGCGAGCCAGGGAGCCCAAGGCCCATGTGTTTGGTTTTTATATCCAACCTGGCTGCCCAACCCCACCCTCAGGTCCCAGCCACCTTCCCCTTGGTGGTGATGGGATTTGTCTTTCCCAATGTTTTGATGGCTTTAGTCTGGAGTCGGGGTGGCGTCCACAAAGCCTGCATGGGATTATCTCAGGACATCATTTCCCCCTAACAAGGGGAGCAGTGGGAGAGACAGGAGAGGTCTGCTGTGCCAAGTGGGTAGCTCCCTGGCCGGCCGGGGATAGAACTCATGCTGCAGAGGCTGTGGACAGCTTCATAGGTTGCATCGCAACCCCTTGCGCCACCAGGGAGGCCCTCTACTTAAATTCTTATGGACAGGTAGAGAGCTGTGGGCTCGCTAACGGTGTGGTGAACTTGTGGGATTGCAGATCCCACCATCACTTCAGTGACTGATTTGCACAGACAGGGAATTTAAATAATGCAGCCAGTTCTACTGATTATCCCACTCAACAAACATGCGTGCGCCCCAGTGTCAGTCAGGCAAGGCAGGTGAGACTAAATTGAGTAACTGCTGCTCTGGGTAAACATCTCACTTCCGTTTCTGAGTCTCGTATGCTGACTATGTCAGGTACTAAACTAAAAGGATGATGTTTCAGTGCTGGAATAGGAAGCTTTATGGGAGACAAGGGGCAGGGGGTGCACTGTAAGATGTTCACTTTACTAATTTCAGAACCTGGAGTCCAGTCGACAAAGCAGTTAAGTGGTTAAATCCAGTGGTTTGGCAATTTTCTAATCCAGAATGAATGTTCTATTGAATAAAGAGATAAAGACATAGAAGTTGTAATTCATGCTTATCAAATTTATGTGAAGCTCCAGCTAGGACATGCAGCCACAACTCTGCTTGAAAGTCAAGACTCCCAAAGACCTCAACAGACTGCAAACATGGGCCAAAATGAACACGAGAACATTCCATTATAGTCAGAGTTCAGTGCCTGGGTTAAAAAAAGAATCAACAGTGTAAGTACGCAATGGGAAGATTTAACATGACTGAAGGTTACATATACAGGGCTCAGTTTTTGAGTTGACAACACAAACTGACAGTGTGCTGGGGAAGTTTCTAGAATAAAGGTGGATGGTGATCACTCCATTCCAGGACTGTGCCCAGACTTTTGTGTTGGTATTGAGTGTCTCCAGCACTGGGCAAGCATGCTGAGGGATTGCAGGCTCATGCGCTAGGAGAAACAGATTGGGCACAGAGCTGTTCTTTTTAGTTGAGAAAAGGGACTTTTATAAAGCACAATAGATATCTTGAAATACTCAAAGGGATCTCACACAGAGGAGGGATTAAAGCTTTTATTCAGGGTTGTTCCAGAGGGCTAAACAAGCCGATATATAGGAGAAAGTCAGTTCCTGGGAGGTGGATGCAGCCCAGAATGAGCCTGCTTGTGATCAGAGCTGTCCAAATATGGAGCAGGCGGCTGCTTACAATCTGAGCGCTTTACAGGAGGGCTTTAGAAGGTTGGGAAGCTGGCAGGGGCCTCTTATGCAGGTCTCCCCTTTCTACTGGGCCTTTTCTCTCTGCCTTGCTTTTTTAAACTAGACTGCCTGTTACCAACTAACTAATGTCCTCCTTTGTTAATTCCTTTGACGTTCTTTGATGGAAGCATCCACTTTCTGAATCACAGTTGCTGTCATTTTTTCCTCTCCCTGTCCTCAGTTGAATATAGCTGCAATCCTGGGTGAAGGAGTAGTTCTAAGGTCATTCTTACTTTTTAAAATCTTATAAAGTTTGCATTGTTCGATGCATGAAGTAAATTGAGGATGGTTTACTTCTAAGGGAGGAGAGAAATTAGATCTTTCTGCTTGTGGGAGGTTGGGAAGATACTAAATTTTGGCATTCTATAAACGACAGATTTCAGAGACAGTAACAGGTTGAGGCATCAAGGGCGTAATTGGTATGTGACATAGAAGGGGCCAACTGAGGCTAAAAATCACACTTACAGTTTAAGGGAGTAGTCCAACCTCCAACAAATAGAAGACTTGCGAAGAACTATCTGGAAGGGTGATGACAATGTGGTAGCAACGTGAGCCTCCACATTCCTCAGATCTGAGAAACTTCTTAGGCAGCCTAGCATTGATTCGTGTGTTTTAAACCTAATCTTCGCAGTTGTTGGGACTCTTTCATTCATTGTATCAGTAGGTGTTCAATAAATGAGTATATCCCGGGGATTGTTCTGCATCCTGAGGATGGACCAGCGAGGCAAACACCTGATCTCAGGGAGTTTGTAACCTAGTAGAGGGGGACAAAGGGCAAAGAGTTATGCAAAAAAGCAATATCTGAGATAAGTGCTGTGAGGAAAATAATCATGTGACAGAAAGGGGACTGGGTAGAACACTTAAAGTGGTCGGTGAAATCATCTCCAGGAGGTGGCATGTAAGCTGGGATCTGAATGATAAGGTGGAACTAGGCACGTGGAATTGGGGAAGAGCATTTAGTACAAAAACCAGAAGCTCATCATTTTGCCAGAGGTACTTACAACCCCAAGCAGAGACTGAACCATTGAACAAAAAGCCAAAGTCAAATGCCCAAGATAATTTCTAAGCTGAGAAAAGTTACAATCCTCCCGCCTACAGTGCTGCTATCTTTGCTGAAAGAGATGTGGTGAGGCAGAAGAAATGGTAAGACCTGGTGCAGGCCTCGTCTCAGAGGGAAAGAGCCTTTTCCTCCTCGGCCACACCCTCACCATGCATCACGTGTCCCTCCTGGAAGAGGACAATCCTGTGACCTAACCAGTTTGCACCTTGCCTCCCAGTGCATTGCCATACATTAGAATTTTTTTGTTTGTTTGTTTGGTGTAGGACTTTGTTGGTCCTTTTCCAAGTATCAATCAAAACTTCACGCCAGACTCCACTCCTTGGAAATAATTAAATGAAATGACGTGCCTGATTTTTTCAGCTAGGTAATGCTTTGCATTTGGTGAAGGAATTTATCTTAAGTCCTGAGGCTGAACCATCGAGGACAACTGAGGTGATTTTTGCTTTGCTTTTTTGCTCATGTGGACAGTACACTATTGCCCATCACAAAAGTGGCCTAAGCTTGTGACATGCTTGAGTCAGAAAGCTACTTTTTGTGATGCGAATAGGTTCAACTTTTTTTTTTTTAAAGATTTATTTATTTATACAAGATTGATTGATTGATTGATTTATACAAGCACTGGGTACAATCAGAAGCGCGGGAGGGTGAGAGAATTCACCAGAGCAGAGCGGGGAGCAGAACAGGCAGAAGGACCGAAGGACACTGCTGAGGGGAGCAGCGGGCGGCAGGAGAGGTCTGCGCGGCCTTGTGGGACCCTCACCCCAGGCAGGGGATCGAACCGGTGCCGCTGAGGCTGCGGGCAGCTTCGCAGTCCAGCGCTCAACCGCTGCGCTACCGGGGAGGCCCAGGTTCACCTTTTGTTTGTGAATTCAAGGCCAAGGTCCTTTTCCCTGTCAAGTTGTCTAACCAGCTTTATTCTCAGCAACATTCGCTTCATCTTGCAGTTTCCTGGGTTCTGGGCAGGCCTCACGTGTAAATTGTGGTTTAAAAGATTCGGTTAGGGATTGAAGACCGCTTTCTCCTATTGAGGACACGAGAGTCTAGAAAATAACCAGCACCTTCTAGCGCAATGCCCGCGGCACCGTGGCAGTTACAGGCGCTCGGCCTGTGACCCTGCGCGGACGCGCTATCGGCAGCTTCGGCCGGGACGACGCGGGCCCCCAGCCGCCTCCCCCGGGGATCCGCGTGCCGGGGAACTCCTGGCCGCGGGTGCGGATGCGGCGTTCCCGAGGCGAGATGCGGGGCTCGGGTCCGCGGGAGGTCGCGCGGGCTCCCCGGTGCCCGAGGCGGGCGGGCGGGCGCAGGCGCGCCCGGGAGCCGAGCGCGGCCCTGGCGGCGCGGGCGACGGGTCGGGCCAAGGACACGCCGAGCGCGTGCTCGGGAAGGACACCGGCCGGCTCGCCGGCCTCGCCTTCCAGCCCGCGCCCCGGCCCGGGCTGACCCCAAGCGCGCCTGGGGCGGCGAGCGGGAGCCCGCGGAGCCCCCAGCCCGCCAGAGCCTGCGTCCGCGCCAGGCCGGGAGCCGAGCGGCCCGGACTCGCCCCACGCCCGCCCGCCCGCCCGCGGGCCGCAGCGCGCCCGGCGCGCGCCCGCCTCGATCCGGGGCCCTGGGGGCGGGGCCTGCGCGGCGCGTGGGCGCGGGGCGGGGGGGCGGGGCGGGGCCGCCCGCGCCGCGCTGGGCGCTCTCGGCCAATGAGCGGCGTCCACATGCCGCGGCGGCGGCGAGAGGGGAGGCAGCGGCCGATAAATGCTATTAGAGTCGCCGCCGCCGCGCCGTCCCCGACGCCGCCGCCGCCGCCTGCTCCGCCGCAGCTTCCTCCGCCGCTGTCGGGGTGCGGAGCCCCGGCGCCCGGGTGAGCGCGCCGCCGCCGGCCCGCCGCTCGCCTCCGCGCTCCGCGCCGCCTCGGGGTCCGCCGGGCGCCGCTCGCTCCGGCCGGGGCCGCGAATCCCCCAGCGTGCGGGGCGGGGGCTCGGCGCCGCGGCCTGCGCCCCGGCGGGCGGTTGGGCCCGCGGAGGCCTGACGCGGCCGCCCCTCTGACGAGGCCGCCCCTGACGCGGCCGCCCCTGACGAGGCCGCGCTCCTGACGAGGCCGCCCCTGACGAGGCCGCCCCTGACGAGGCCGCCCCTGACGAGGCCGCGCGGCCCAGCGCCGCGCCCGAGCCCGAGCCCAGCCCAGCCCGAGCCGGGCGGGCGCCCGCGAGGCCGGGGGCCGGAGGGCGGTTGCGGGGCCGGGGGCGCGGGGGCTCGGCGGCCGGAGGCGGGGAGAGCCCCGGGAGGCGCGAGCCCGCGGCCCGAGGGCGAGGCGGCGGCGCGGCGGCCGGGCCCGCAGCCATGGAGAACGCGCACACCAAGACGGTGGAGGAGGTGCTGGGCCACTTCGGCGTCAACGAGAGCACCGGGCTGAGCCTGGAGCAGGTCAAGAAGCTCAAGGAGCGCTGGGGCGCCAACGGTAGGTGCCGGCGGCGCGGCCGCGGGAAGATGGCTGCCCGGCTCCGCCTCGTGGGCTCCGCTCCGCGCGCCGGGGCCGGGTCGGGCCTGCCCGGCTGGGAGAGGGCCGCGCGCCGGCCGGCCCCCTCGGCCCCGCGCCGCCCCGGCCCCCGGCGCCGCCCCGCCCCCGGCGCCGCGAGCCCCGTAGCTCCCCGGGCTGCTCTCGGTGGAGGGCGGGCCGGGCCTACCGCCCGGCTGAGCCCCGCGAGACGGGCCCGGCCCGGCGGCGCATGGTCGCGAGGGCGCCCCCGACGGCTCCCGGGACATCGCCGAGACGGCTCCGCTTCCCGGGGGTGGCCCAGGGGTGACAGGAAGTACTGCGGGATTTCTTGGGGTGCCATTTCAGCAGGGTTCCCAGTAAAAGAAAAGTGGCTGAATGTTCATGTAGTTAGGTGTGTGTCTTTCAACAGACTGATAATTTCGGTAATTTTTCCCAGAAAGCGTGCTAAATTAATTGTCTCTTCCCCTTCTCTTGACACGTTGCCTGGCGGATTTCTACAGAGTTACCGGCTGAAGAAGGTAAATCTTTGACGTATACTTTTTTACTCCTCTCCCCTCCCCCGTGTGTGTGTAGATGTTGAGATGACAGTGACAACAAATGTGTTTGTTTCTAATAGGAAAAACCTTACTGGAACTTGTGATTGAGCAGTTTGAAGACTTACTAGTTAGAATTTTATTATTGGCAGCGTGTATATCTTTTGTAAGTATAAAGAAATTTATTTTCTTTCTAAAAAGTTGACAATAGTCCATAGATGGAAAGCGAGAAAACAAAGATGTGAGACTATCCTATTTGGAGATTTATGCCATGTCTCCATGCTTGTTTTTTTAAAAATATGGGTATTTTAAAATTATAAACAAAATATCTGAAGCTATTTGTGTACAGGAAATAAATGGATGCCTGTCCTACATGCAGTTAGAAATTGTTCATGTTTTAGTATCAGAAAATTCATTTAGGAGGACTTTTCTCTTTTGGGGCTTCCCATTACGTGATATACTATAAGATGATGTTAGGCTCTTTGGAGTCTGTAAATAGATCTTACAAAAGGAATATTCCAGTTGCTCTCCCTTGCCTCCCTAATGGCAAGGTGACAGTTGTTTCTGACAGTGACAAGACTGATGACGGCAGTGATGGCACGACTGTTGACCAAATTTGGTCAGTGACCTTTAGGGTGGTACATTTGTCTAAATTGGACCCCTGTCTTGAGTGACTCTTAGCTTGAGAGAACAAGGTTCAGTACAGTTGGTTCTAGATCTTAAAAGATGAAAAAAAAATCACGTTTTCTTATGTATGTGCTTGCCAGCTTGAGTGCTCTGTGGTTGCTAAGAAACTGGTGAAATGCAAAGGACGACAGCTGAAGAAAGGTGATGGGGATTGGTGGGGATATTTTCTAGGTTATTAACAGTTTTTATTGTTCATTTTATTGCATTTTTTGTTGGGCAGTGGACTTCGAGGTAGTTTTCCTAAAAGTGGTCATGAATAGGACACAGATGTTCCTAATTCTAACAGCATGAGATGGTTTTTGTTCTTAAGTTACAGTGTTTTGTTCTTATAAAAACCATGATGGGAAGTGAAATTCACCCAGTGCAATGCTTTATGCTTCGCAATATTCACACAGCTTCAGGGTTCATTTTTGTATGTGTAGAACTCCAGGCCCCTCAGTCTTGATGACTAAACATACTGTAGAGGACTATTTTGAGAACTAAACAAATGAAGCAATGGACAATTTTTTTTAGTTTGGTTAAGGGTCTGCCCTGTTCCTGTTTCTTGCCTTGTTAGCCAAGTGATACACAGTCATCGAGTCTTCATGAAGCTTTTCTGAGGTTTTCATTTAATAAACTTAGCATGTCCTAGCAAACCATCCAGCATCCTGATTTAATCACTCATTGTGAAGCTGTGCTGTCTTGACTCTATGACTCTGCTTTACCAATTAAGATAAAGAAGCAGAACCGGTAAAGCTCTTTGATTAACTAGTTTCGATATATAGTCATGGGTCAGAGCAGATGGGAGGGCTATGTTGGTGCTAGTGTGATATTTGTATTTAAGCTGGCTGTGTCATTCTGAGATAGTTTTGGCTTTGAAAGTTAAGTACTATATCCAAAAAGGTAATCAGGCGCATTTTAGAAGTTACAATCAGTTGTATACAAGCTACAGGTAAAATAAATTTTTGTTATTCTGTGTGTGTAACTAATGGCAGTGTTGTACCTCCAGGGCCATTGTTTCCAATAAAAACATGCAGTTGATTTGATATTTTGAAAAAATGGGATGGGGGCCTCCCCGGTGGCACAAGGGGTTAACAGCACCACACTGTGAAACAATCAGCAGCCTCTGCAGCACCAGTTCTATCCCTGGCTGATCCCTGGCTGATCCCTGGCCAGCTAGGGAGCAGCCCACATGGTAAGGCAGACATGTCCTGCAGACCTGTCCTGTCTGGTCCGCTGCTCCCCTGAGCAGTGTATTTCAGTCCATCTGCCTGTTCTGTTCCCCCCTCTGTCTCTGGTGAATTCTCTCACCCTCCCCCCTCAATCTCTGGCCTGAACCCCAGTTCTTGTATTCATAAAAAATAAATCTTTTAAAAAAATGGGGGATGGTAGCAGAACAAGCTAGTAACTGGGTGGTGTAGGGTCGTTTGAGTGACTTTGTATTATTAACATTTTGAATGGATGTGTGATTTTTTTTTTTCTCCTTAAAGTGAAAAGTTTATAATAGTTTCTAGGCATTTTCGAATGGATTTTTAATATAAGTGCTTTCACTTTGTTGTAAGGTAAGGTGTTGGGTTGTTTTAATACATTTGTAGAGCTATGTTTTGGAGTTGAAGTTTGGGTTTTTTGCTCAGGAAATGAACTGTTTAATTTTTATTTCGTGGATTGTGTTTAACAAAAAAGTTTTGGAAGTATTGTTACTGTAGAAATCAATTTACTTTGAGTTAAGTTATAAAACCTGTTTTGTTGATTTTTCGAGTGGCATCGGTGCTGCTGCTACATTGTAGTTGACCTTTTCAGTCCCCATTTCTTTATTTCTTGAAAGAGCACCAGCCTTTTTGTGGCAGTTTATTCCTCTTGGTTTTATAGGAAAGACATGATAGAGTAGTTGTATTATTTTAGAGACGTGAACAGACAGTTCTTACATATGTGATATGTCGTCAGATTCTGCTCAAGGAAAAAATTCCAGGTTTTAGGATTTGAAATATCAAACTAAGTAGTAAACTGTTAACCATAGTTAATATTTTGCTATGGCAGAAAGTAGGAAACTGCATTACTATTTTACACTTGTGACCTGTAGGGGTAAAGTTTAATTAACTTGTAATATTCGCCAAGAGTTCTGTATTTTTTTTTTTTAAAGATTTATTTATTTATTTTTTTTTTTAATAGAGGCATGTTTTATTTATTTATTTATTTGTTTGTTTGTTTTTTTGTTTATGCATGCACTGGGTACAGTCAGAAGCGCGGGAGGGTGAGAGAATTCACCAGAGCCAGAGCAGGGAGCAGAGCAGGCAGAAGGACCGAAGTACACTGCTGAGGGGAGCAGCGGGCGGCAGGAGAGGTCTGCGCGCCATGTGGGACCCTCCTCCGGTGGCCGGGGAGCAGCCGGGGATCGAACCGGCACCGCAGAGGCTGTGGGCAGCTTCGCAACCCAGCGCTCAACCGCTGCGCCACCGGGGAGGCCCTAAAGATTTATTTTTATTTATTTATACAAGCACTGGGTACAGTCAGAAGCGCGGGAGGGTGAGAGAATTCGCCAGAGCAGGGAGCAGAGCAGGCAGAAGAACCGAAGTACACTGCTGAGGCAAGAGAGGTCTGCGCGCCATGTGGGACCCTCACCCGGTGGCCGGGGATGGAACCGGCGCTGCAGAGGCTGTGGGCAGCTTCGCAACCCAGCGCTCAACCGCTGCGCCACCAGGGAGGCCCAAGAGTTCTGTATTTAAAGGTTACTTGGATTGGAAGGAGTGAACTGTGTATCTCCTGTGGCCTATGGAGTAGCATTAGAAATTCTGTTCTTATGTCCTTTCATTTTTGTCTTTCTCTCCTTTTCATTAGCTTTGCCCTCCGTGTAACACATCATACGGTTGCTTCATTGGAATGCCTGCCTATCCTTTCTTGTGGCTGCTTTGTTAGGTATTTATTGAGGACCCAGTGCATGGCACAGGCTCTGGGGATCCAGCATCCAGCAAAATGGACCTAATCCCTAACCTGGAGTTGACATTCTCATGGAGACATAATAAATGATAATTGTTGGATGGTGATAGTGCTGTGGAGAAAAATTAAGTGTGGGGAAGGGTGAGGAAGTAAGGGAGTAGAGGTATGGGTGGAGAGTACAACTTTCAATAGGGCCATTAGGAATGTGACATTTGAGGACAGACCTGAAGGAAGTGAGCATGAGGGCATGTGTATCTGTCTAAATCTTAAAGCCCTCTTTGGTAATGCAATTTGTATAAGTTTTTCTAACCTGTTTCCCCACCTTAGCTCTGTAGGTTGACCCTGCAACCCTACAACGAAATGAAATTTTAGACAAGAATACTTTCCAAATTGTACTTATGTTTGAATCATTTGTCTTTTTTCATTCTGGGCCCTTTTTTTTTTTTTTAAGATTTATCTATTTATACATATAAGAACTGGGGTATAGGTCAGAGGTGCGGGGGGGGGAGGGGATGGGAGGGAGTGAGAGGATTCACCCAGAGGCAGAGTGGGGCAGGCAGATCCACTGAAATACACTGCTGAGGGGAGCAGCTGGGAGACAGGGGAGGTCTGCTGCGCCATGTGGGTATCTCCCTGGCCGGGGATCGAACTTGGGCTGCAGTGGCCACGGATAGCTTCACAGGTTGCATCTCAACCCCTTGTGCCGCCAGGGAGGCCCAATATGTGCTTTGGATTTAAGAAATATTTGAGTTTATGTTGGTAACATTTGTTAAATATGTTAAATCTTTGGTGTTCTCAGAACTATATAATTGGGAAGTTTTGAATACTGAGTTATGTAGTTAAATATTTCTTCAGTGCTTTATTTTTAGAAGTGGGGCTGTTAATTAGTTGGTTTGACTATTTAGATCCTTTAAAATGTGGTTTTGAAACTGAAAGTATATGGGTTTGTTTTTTTTTTAAGTTTTGTGTTTTCGAGTCTGGAAATGTTGAAGAGTGTTTTCACAACTCTTGTCTAGAGCAAAAGAAGATCTAGCTTCTTTTAGCTTGATAGATGCTTATATATGTGTACATACATACATACATACATACATACATACATACATGACTGAAAGAATTTTTCCCACTCCAGGAAATTGCTGAGACATGTACTGGGAATTCTTTTTTCATTCTTGTGAAGTGTCTTGTTATCTTTTGCCGCTTCTAAAAATTTTTTTGATGAAAATTTCATTCATTGAACAAGTCTTTCCAGAGGCATAGCAAATTTTTTTTTTATTAAGAAAAGGTTTATTTTATTTACTTATGCATTCAAGAACTTACACAAGAGGTTTTCTTTCCAATAGAATAAAACCATGTGTGTGACACAATAGACTATGAACATAACTGACTAGATTGGTTCTTACCAATTAATGAAATATGATCAATCTTTTGAGCTGTAGCTTATAATTCTTTCAGTTATATTGCTTTCGAAATAGATAAAATATACAGGAAAAGTTGGTGGTTGTCAATTTTAAGTATATTTAGCATCATCCTTACACCCTGTGAGAGATTTGCCCACTAGTTTTTCATCACTCAGTAATTGGTGGATCTTCCAAATATCTGAGAGCCTATGTTTTTTAAACATGAGCATTTAGAGTCACAGAAGAAAAGAGTTATTGGACTGTATAGATTATGATTATTACATTGTGGGTGGGTGCCACTTGTGCAAAAGGATCACACGTTTCTTGGAAATTAGAGGGTTGCTCTGATAGTCTTGTCACTGCTTGCTTCAGTCTTCCTTTCCTCCAGCTGTTCTGGGATCTGACTTTTAAGTTTGTTCCTCAGCCTAGCTGCCAAGATGGAAATTCATACCAGCTTTAACAAGGTGTGAAGCTTATCTTACAGTTGCTAATGCCTCACTGACCTTTTGAAAAGGTCCTAGTTACTCTTCAAGTTGAGCTATTTTTCTCCTCCATTAGCTAATTAAGTTTCTTATTTCTGATGGGCCCTCCTTGGCAAGCATTTGAAAGACTAGTATCTAACAGCTGTGATCTTGCATCTATCAAAATTTATAACTTCCTAGAGAAGTTTTCGTTTTGGCATCAGGCCTAGTCTTAACACCAGGAATGCCCTATTGAAAGCTTGCAACAACATTTATATTCATTCTAGTTTTCTGCCTGCCCTGAATTATTCACTGTCAGTGGTGAGTGGCATCCACCAGGACCTGGTCCTGCTTATGTCCTGGGTTTTTTTCCTTGTTTAAATTTATACTATTAAGCTTAGTTTATAATTTTCTAAGTACAAATGTAGTCACATGTTTTCGTTATTGTCATAAACCATATCTAACTGTTAATATCAGGAACAGGGCTTTTATAGTTACTAAATGATCTTTTTTTAAGAAATATTTCATTGTGGGGCCTCCCCGGTGGCGCAGCGGTTGAGCGCTGGGTTGCGAAGCTGCCCGCGGCCTCTGCGGCGCCGGTTCGATCCCCGGCTGCTCCCCGGCCACCGGAGGAGGGTCCCACATGGCGCGCAGACCTCTCCTGCCGCCCGCTGCTCCCCTCAGCAGTGTACTTCGGTCCTTCTGCCTGCTCTGCTCCCCGCTCTGGCTCTGGTGAATTCTCTCGCCCTCCCGCGCTTCTGACTGTACCCAGTGCATGTATAAACAAAACAAACAAAGAAACCAGCAAACAAATAAATAAAGCATGCCTCTATAAAAAAAAAAAAAAAAAAGAAATATTTCATTGTGAAACTTTTAAAGCAATGCTGAAAAAGCGAAGGCAGATCTTACCTTCCAGCTTGAATTATTAGATATCTCTAAAATTCTGTCTGGATTGGCATGCAAAAATTGTTACACTTTAAACCATTTAGGTGGTTCTGTTGTCATGTTCTTTACTATACAGATAAAAGATTCCTGCTTGCCACCTTAGAGCTGCTTGGTTGTAACGTATGGTGTGGCTCTCTTAGCTGTAGTTTTTAAATCTTTTTAAAAAAAGATTTATTTTTATTTATTTATGCATACAAGAACTAGGGTATAGACCAGAGACAGAGTGGGGAGCAGAACAGGCAGGTCTACTGAAATAAACTGCTGAGGGGAGCAGCAAGCAAGACAGGAGTGGTCTCCTGTGTCCTGTGGATCAGTTCCCTGGCCAAGGATTGAACTCATGCTGCAGTGGCTGGTCATAGCTTGATAGTGCTGATACTGAACTCCTGGGCCACCAAGGAGGCCCAGCTTTTATATCTTAACCAGCTTGTGCTTGTATGAACCAGGGGTTAGTTCTCTGGTCCTTTTTCTTGGGGGTCCTTGTTCTGCATCCATTTGTACTGTTTTTGGGCTTATGTCCCCTCGGAAGTACTGTACTGCTACACATGATGTCATAGAAGGGTGACCATGAAGATGGCTTTCCATTATGCCCAACAACCTGCAGTAGTAATTTTTTTTTTTTAATTCTGTTACTTATATTTGCATAGAAGAACTGGGGTGTAGGCCAGAGGTGGGGGTTGAGAGGATTCACCAGAGACAGAGCGGGGAGCAGAACAGGCAGATCTACTGAAATACATTGCTAAGGGGAGCAGCAGGCAGGACAGGAGTGGTCTGCTGTGCCATGTGGATTAGCTAGCTCCCTGGCCAGGGATGGAACTCAGGGTGTAGCAGCACGCCTTGGTGGTAGTGCCAAGACTTTAACTTGTACGCTTCCAGGGAGGCCCAATCTTTTTTTTTTTTTAAATACAAGCACTGGGTACAGTCAGAAGCATGGGCGGGTGAGAGAATTCACCAGAGCCATAGCAGGGAACAGAACAGACAGACTGATGAAATACACTGCTGAGGGGAGCAGCGGGCGCGACAGGAGAGGACTGCGCGCCATGTGGGACCCTCGCCGGCTGTCAGGGAGGCCCAATCTTGCAGGATTTCTAAAAAGAAAATAAATAGGGCACTAAGAATTTACATACAGTAAAATTTGAATCAGCGATCAAGTATTTTTTGCTGTTTTGCCACATTGATACTATTATTGACGTGAATAATAACCAGTTACAAATTTGTTAATGGTTGCCTTTTATTCAGCAAAATCAAGAATTTAAGTTTCATTTCTTCTGAATATATACATAAAAAATAAGTGGGATTACTTCTGAAAAGTATGTTGTTTGGAATTTTTTTCCTCCCACCCTTGCCCCTGTATTTGAAGTTTAAAACAAGTTAGTACATAAAAAAAATAGCACTTAAAGGTATTGTTAAGAAGTTAGGTAATTTTAATTCTCAAGAATTATTGTGAACAAGACATAGCAGGTTGTTTGCTTCATTATATTTTGCCACTATTTGTTTCTAGGGACAGTAAGAGGTTTTTATATATTGTATCAGTAGCTTCTTTAGTGCCAGCAGCTTTTGTTCTTAAAGTGGCATGAAGCCTAAAGACACATACCCTTTTAACGCATACATTTCTCTTTCAGGTTTTGGCTTGGTTTGAAGAAGGTGAAGAGACAATTACTGCCTTTGTAGAACCCTTTGTAATTTTACTTATATTAGTAGCCAATGCAATTGTGGGTGTATGGCAGGTAAGCAAAACGTCTGTAATGCTAAATATTAGTGTTTTATGTGCGTGATTTAAGCTGTGTTGATGTTACGTTTTTCCTGATGTGTTGACTAAAAATATCTTCTGTGGAATGTCTACATGTGTTTTGTCTTTTGTGCATTAATTTATTTAATGGCAAATTTTTCAGAGGTCTCATGCATATACTTTGCTATGAAAATTGCTCATTCTTCATGGTAGGGTGGAGGTAAGAACAACAGGCAAGAAAAGCTACTTATGGAAAACCAAAATGTTTGAGAACCAGTATTTGTTACTGTATTTCTTAGCTGCCTCTTGTGAAATACTTCATAAAATCCATGCTTTCTTAAGCTTCTTGGAACTTGGGGTGGGGTATGGGGTGGCTTAGTTGTAAAAATTGTTTTTTCCCTTCAGAGCATACTCCTAGAATGTTTTACTGTAGTTGCCCAAGCATTTCTTACAGAATAGAAGATAATTTTACTATAGAAATATGATGAACCCCATCACTGTTTACAGAATTGTTCATCTGCAGATAACCGAGTCTGAGAACTTTGTTGATCTCTTGAATTTTTTTTTTTGACAGATTTTAATAGACTCTGAGACTAATACTTTCTAAGTTTAGATTTTTTGATGTAGTTATCTCTTGAAGATTAAAATATAGTGCATCTATCATTCTTAATATTAACATCTTATAAACATCTCTGTACTATTGGAATTATAAACTTCAATCTCATTAATAAATGTGAAGTTTTTTTTTTTTTTTTTTTTTTTAAGATTCATTTTTATTTATTTATGCATGCAAGAACTGGGGTCTAGGCCAGAGGTGCGGATGTTGAGAGGATTCACCAGAGACCGATTGGGGAGCAGAACAGGTGGATTGACTGAATGAAATACACTGCTGAGGGGAGCTGTGGGCGAGACATGGGAGATCTGCTGCACCATGTGGGTTAGCTCCCTGGCTGGGGATCAAACTCTTGCCAGAGTGGATTGGCGAGAGCTTGATAGCGTTGAGACTTTAACCCCTGTGCCACCAGGGAGGCCCTAAACATGAAGGTCTTTGTGGTAGACTCATAGAAAGATGGTCTACTTAGAAGAAAAGTACTCCTACATTCCTCTTACATTTTCCCCTAAAAATTTGTTTACATTGGGCCTCCCTGATGGCGCAGGCAGTTGAGCGCAGCGCTTTGAAGCTGTCTGCAGCCTCTGTAGTGCCAGTTTGGTCCCCGCCTGTCGCGGAGATGCCCACATGGCGAGGCAGACCTCTCCTGTCTCACCCGCTGCTCCCCTCAGCAGTGTATTTCAGTTGGTCTGCGTATTCTGTCCTCCGCTCTGTCTCTGGTGAATCCTCTCACCCTCTTGCACATCTGGCCTGTACCACAGCTCTTGTATAAATAAAAAAAAAAGAGTGGTATAAGGTAGTATTAGGAGATGTAGAAGGGGGCACACATTTCTGACCAGTGTCATCAAGGAAGACCTCCCTAAAGGAGTCTACACACAAAATTGTGCACAGTTTTGTGGATGGAGGCTTGGGCAAATATTCCAGATATGGACTGGCGTGAGCAGAAGGGTACAAAGTGTTTGAGGGATGACATTTAGACCAATTTGGGATTGAGTAGGAGCTATAACGGGAGGTAGGGAAACTGTAAACTTTTAGTACAAAGGCAACCTTGGAAAATTCTCTTTTAAGTTATCTTTTTGTTAGTAGTAGGTTTGGTATATTTGTGTTTCTCCAAGTTGATAGGATTTTGCTGTAACCTATTTGAATCCATAATCATTAGCTTCCTTTTCCACTCCTACATTCCACAAATACTCTTTGATAGTTTGAACTGGGATGAGGGGGAAAGGTTATTTATGTATTTATTTATTTTAAAAGATTTATTTATGCATATACAAACTGGGGTACAAGCCAGGGCTATGGGGGGTGAGATGACTCTGACCAGAGACAGAGTGGGGAACAGAACATGCAGACTGACTGAAATACACTGCTGAGGGGAGCAGCAGGTGAGCCAGGAGGGGTCTGCTGCACCAGGTGGGTAGCTCCCTGGCCTGGGATCAAACTCATGGTGCACTGGCTGCGGATAGCTTCATAGGTTGTGTCTTAACCCGCTGCGCCACCCGGGAGGCCTGGGAAAGGCTTTTTAAATGACATTAATTGCATTTTTAATAATTTAAATGTGTATTTGCTAATTTTAATTGGAGCAAAATAGGGTGTTCCTGGGTTATCTCCTTAACCTTGAGCAGTGCAGGTAAACTCCTTGTCATAACCTTCAAGACAGAGAAACAAGTAAAACTGCCACAATTCATAAATTTAGTGGGAAATAATCCTGCAGAAAAAGTAGTTTCAAATTTCACCATAGTTAAATAGCAATAGTGCTCAGAATTTTTTTTTTAAGGATTGATTTATTTGTGCATACAAGAAATGGGGTACAGGCCAGAGGTGCAGGGGTTATGAGGATTCATCAGAGACAGAGTGGGGAACAGAACAGGCAAACTGACTGACTAACTGAAATACACTGTTGAGGGGAGTAATTGGTGAGACAGTAGAGGTCTGCTGCACCATGCAATGTTTCTAAAATCCCTGGCAGAGCCGGGGATCGAACTCATGCTGCAAAGGCTGTGGATAGTTTCACAGTGCTGTGCTTTACCCCTTGTCCACCAGTAAGGCCCAATAATTTAGTCTTTCTACAATATTAGTGATGTTGAAACTTAATTTGAAGGACCTTTTAGCAGTGACAAATTAGACTTAAATATTCTAGTATTTCTGTTAAGTATAAGGTGGTGCATATCTCCTTTTTTTTTCCCCCAAAGATTTGTGTATACAAGAACTGGGTACAGGCCAGAGGTGTGGGGGGTGAGAGGACTCTGACCAGAGACAGAGTGGGAACAGAACAGGCAGACTGACTGAAATACACTGTTGAGAGGAGCAGCGGGTGAGTCAGGAGAGGTCTGCCGCGCCATGTGGGTAGCTCCCTGGCCGGGGATCGAACTTGTGCTGCAGAGGCTGCAGATCACTTCATAGACGGTATCTAAAACCCTTGCACCACCAGGGAGGCCCTTCTCTTTGACTTGTAATTGCTTATTCTCCAAAAAAGGGACAAATTTGGCACATAGGTTTTTTTTTCTTGTTTTAAATCCCTAAAGTAACTTTCCTGTAGCTTTTTTTTTTTTTTTTAACGCAACATGACTTATTTTGAGTCTACTTTCATTTTGAAATTAGAAAGAATAGCTGCATGACTAAGTGTTGATAATGCTCATATATGATATGGTAAGTATGGTATGTGGTAGTGCTCTGATGTGATTATAACATTTAAATTAGAGAGCGATTTCTTAGAACTTGATTATCTTAAATTCATCACTCATAGCTTCTGTGTGTACCAAAACACGATCCTAAACATTTGACATATAATTTGTAAATTCTCACCAACCTTAATGAGAGGTAATATTGGTGTCATTGCTTTGTAGGCAGTGAGATTGTGTGTAGTGTAGCTTAACCACAGTCACATAGCTCCTGCGTCGAAAGCCCTGGATTGGACGTAGGCGGTTGAGCCCCCCAGGCCATTACCTTCCATGTGAGACAGGATTTGTGTAAATGGCAATTCGTGACTGGAGTGAGGGCTGTTCTATAGTGTCCTGGGAATAGCCGGTTCTCTTTCTGCTTCTCCCAGTGTGACTGTATTCCTTTACCCTTGGGAGGGTGCTCTTCTTTTCATTTGTAATACAGAATCATAAGGGTCCTAGTGTGTATCACTGTAAGATGTAAATTGCGTACTACAAATGTCAGTGTGTGTGTGTGGGGGGGGGGTGTTAAGTTTAGATGAGGACGCTAAATTTTGATTCCTCCAAAAACTTGCAGTGGCAAGCATCTGTTTATTACTTTTTCCTCTTTTCTTTTTTACAGGAAAGAAATGCTGAAAATGCCATTGAAGCTCTTAAGGAGTATGAGCCTGAAATGGGCAAAGTGTATCGACAGGACAGAAAGAGTGTACAGCGAATTAAGGCTAAAGACATAGTTCCTGGGGATATTGTAGAAATTGCTGGTGAGTTGGGTTTGTGGCTTTGGTTGTAGTCTACATTGTTTATCTGACTGTGGTCCTCTTCTCGAGGTTCATAATTATTTTTTTAAAAACTGCTTATATGTATCGTTATATTAACAAATTTTTATACCATCTAGACAGATGTGAGGTTTTTCTGTAAAAATTATTTCAAAGTGTTTTGGCACTTCCATTCATATTGTTAAAAGATGTTTTGTTTTTAAACTGGCTGTTTTAAATTATTGTACCTGTGAACTTTCAGAACGGTAGGAATAGTGAGATAAGGAACTTCATCTTGGTTTGACATTTTGTGGTAGTGAGCAGTTGGTTGGAATACTGGTTAATGACGATGCAGTTTTTTGTTTCCGTTCTTGGCACAAATGTTATGTCATACTTGTAGCTGTCTAGATAATGCTGAGCCAGGGGTCTTGAGCCTGAGCTCTGTGGGTGGACTTCAAGTGTTCGTAAGTCTATGGCAAGATCTAGAGGTTTCTCAGATCTCATAGGTCTGTCTCACGGCTACATGGTGCCTTGTTTCCCCGCAGCCCAGAACACCCTGGAGCCAGTCAGAACAGTACAGTCTGTTGTTTTTTTGCTGTAGTCATTACATTGGATTATTCAACTCATGGCTTTTCACATTCCCCTGAGCTCAGAATATTTCTTACATGGTTTCTTTTTAGGAATTTTCTCCTAGTAATGCTTTCACACAGACTTGCGGGGATGGCATGCTTTATCTTTGTCTTTAGCTCATTTTAAGGAAGAGTATTCCAAGAGCTACATTTCTTGGCTTGTGCCCTGTCGTTGTGGCTTCTGAAAGGAGATTGCCTTGTCATAAGTGCGCTCTTCGTCCTAATTTTTGTCATTCATTAGAAAAAGAATAGTGCTGTGTGTATACTAATACAGTGATATTACTCAGGCCTGCAAAATGTACGGCCTAACCTGACAGCTCACCTAAAATAGTGTTAACAACACATGTCAAAATGAAGTGTTTGGGCTATTGGAGTTTTCTTTATTTTGACATAATCTCAGGTTAAATGTGGCAAAATGAGCAAGTGAATTCTCATAACCTTTATCCAGATTCCCCAAATATTAACATTTTCTCAAATGGGCATTGTCCTCTTTTTAGTCTATATAACTATGCATTCATGTTTTTGTCTGAACTGCTTGAGAATAAGTTGGTGCACAATGCCCTGTTACTCCTAAATACTTTAGTATTTATTTTATTGAGGACATTCTCTTACATAACTCCAGTGTAATTATCAAAACCAGGAAATTGATACAATGCTGTTATGTAGAGACATTATTCCATTTTACCATTTGTCACAGTGGCTTACATAACAACAAAAAAATAGGAGTTAGGGATGGAATTCTGGCAGTGATGTAGAAAATAGGTCAGACTGGAGAATGCTACAGCCAGGGAGGCTATTTTAATATGCTAGGCAAGAGATAATCAGGGCAGTAGCGTTAAGAATAATGAGAAAAGATCTGAGGAGTTAATGAACAGTGGCTCCTAAGCAGGGGTGCACATGCCAGTCATCTGAGGTGACTCTTTAAAAAAGGTTTTTGCCAGTTTTCCACCCCAAAAAGCCATGTCCTAGTAAGACTCTGACTTTGTTGTCCTTCAGTCTGTTCTTCACATGGCAGCAGACTGCTTTCCTAACGGTCACATTGTTTTTCCACCTGCTAAAAAACCCTTTATTGGCTTCCTCACTGCATCTGAAATAAGAAATTCTTTCTTTGACCCAAAAGACCTCATATTGTGTAACTCCTTGCTTCTAAGATTTCCTCTTCCACCACACAATATGCTCCAGCCATCCATGTTGCTTTTTTCAGTTTTCAATACCACTTTCCTCACTTTCATTTGAAGGAAAGGCAAATTTTATGTAATTTATTAATTTGCCTATGCACACACATCAGAGGCAGAAAATTGTGGTTATGACCTTGATCTGCTTGACTGACTTCTTGCCCATTCTGAAATTCCGTGTGTAGTGTCCTGTCATGTGCTGCAGTTGATAGTTTTCTGGGAAAGAAAAATGATAGTATATGACTTAAAGATTTCCAGTTTATGGGGTATTCCTTCTTTTCACATGGTAAATATATATGTACAGATATGTAGAAATACACACATAAACAGCCATTTTGGCCACTAAGTTTCTGACACTAAGTACATTCACATTGCTGTACAACCATTATCATCACCTTAGGAATTTCTACGTATTAAGTCATGTCATCTGGAAACAGATGTTTCTCTATCTTTCCATCTTGGGTGCCTTTCTTGCTTCTTGTCTAATTGTTCTGGTTAGAACCCTCCAGTACAATGTTGAGTAGAAGTGGCAAGAGGACTTCTCCTGTCTTGTTCTCCCATCTTGATCACAAAGTACGGTGCTAACTGTGGGTTTTGTAGATGCATGTTCTAAAAAGCCTGGTCACAAGTTCATTGTCATATGTTCTTGTTTGGCCTGTTTTAGTGACTTCTCATGGTGGTTATATATTATATTGATATTAGAAATGATAGTTGTGGTAGCCTCCCAGGTGGTGCAGGGTGTTTAGCTTCAGTACTATGAAGCTATCTGCAGCTACTGCAGCATGAGTTCTACCTCCGGCCAGGGAGCTGACCCACAGGGTGCAGCAGACCTCTTCTGCCTCACCCACTGCTCCCCTCAGCAGTGTATTTTAGTAGATCTGCCTGTTCCTGTTCCCCACTCTATCTCTGGTGAATCCTCTCACCCCCCGCATCTCTGGCCTGTACCCCAGTTCTTGTATGCATAAATAAATAAATCTTTTTTAAAAAAGAAATGATAGCTGTGCTGGATTATTAGAGCCACTGGGTCATGAATTAGGAACACTAATCCTGAGGCATTTTACAGTGAAGAATATGGGCCTTTTGGAAAAACATACTGCGTCTACTTAACCGGCCCAGATAAATAAGTACTTATTAAAACTATACTTGTTGACACTTTTTAACTTCCACCTTTATTTGGATTAGAAATCAGTTGGGGGGCCTCCCCGGTGGTGCAGCGGTAGAGCGCTGGGTTGCGAAGCTGCCCGCGGCCTCTGCGGCAGCCGGTTCAATCCCCGGCTGCTCCCCGGCCACCGGAGGAGGGTCCCACATGGCGCGCAGACCTCTCCTGCCGCCCGCTGCTCCCCTCAGCAGTGTCCTTCGGTCCTTCTGCCTGCTCTGCTCCCCGCTCTGGCTCTGGTGAATTCTCTCACCCTCCCGCGCTTCTGACTGTACCCAGTGCATGTATAAACAAAACAAACAAACAAACAAATAAATAAATAAAACATGCCTCTATTTAAAAAAAAAAAAAAAGAAATCAGTTGGACCCTGCATTTGCCCCAACAAATCAGTTCTGTGAAACTAGAATTGAAATTCATTTCTAGAGGTAGATCTAAAATTTCCCTTGTCAACAGAAGTCTAGTACTAGCCTGAAGGAATAAATGGTATGAATTGTGATTTTGGACTTGGTAACACATACACTTAGGAAATTGAGTGTGAAGAAGAGGGCCTTTCTGTTTAGTTGAAAAACAGGAGAATATTGTGAACTATTTTGAGGATGAAAGCAAGTACAGGGTTGTTCTTTCGCTACTTGCAAAAAGAAACAGACCTTTTTGTAGTCATTGTTGGGTGTAAGGATTATCACGTTCTCTTTGCTAACTTTTCCTGGAAGACTTCTGATAGATGTGTCTGCTACACTGGACTGGGTGTTTTTCTGAGGGGGAGGTTAGGGAAATTAAATTTTGGACGTTGCTATGCCAGCTAACTTTCCCAGGGGATATTGTGTAAGCTTGCATAGCAAATGCTTATGTAAACCTCAGAAATATACAGGAGCCAAATAAAATGGATTTGGCTAGTAAAAATATGGGAATGTTTACATGTTGTTCATCTTCTGAAATCACTGTAATGTCGTATTACCTTAATCCAGGGAAATATTTTTCTGGGTAGATGGAAACCCAGAGTAGAGAATTGGGTATCGTTTTATGAGAGATGAATGAACATCAGTGTTTCAAAGCTTTCTGAATTGCCTGCTGATATATATTTTTTAAAGATTATTTATGCATATAAGAGCCTGGGGTACAGGACAGAGGTGGGTGGGGGGAGAGGATTCACCAGAGACAGAGTGGGGAACAGAACAGGCAGATTGACTGAAACACACTGCTGAGGGAAGCAGCAGGCGAGACAGGAGAGGTTTGCTGTGCCATGTGGGTCACCTCCCTGGCCGGGGATTGAACTCATATGCTGCAGCATAGTGCTGACGCTTAACCCCTTGCGCCACCAGGGAGGCCCCCACCTGCTGATATTATAAAAGTGAATCAAGCTGTGATAACCATAAAAGTCTTAATGTTAGAATTTGGGGGGGGTTCAGTATATGGGGAGTGGGGTTATTTACCTCAAAAGGCCACTTTTTTTTTTTTTTTTTTTTTTTTTTTTATAGAGGCATGTTTTTATTTATTTATTTATTTGTTCGTTTGTTTCGTTTATACATGCACTGGGTACAGTCAGAAGCGCGGGAGGGTGAGAGAATTCACCAGAGCCAGAGCGGGGAGCACAACAGGCAGAAGGGCCGAAGTACACTGCTGAGGGGAGCAGCGGGTGGCAGGAGAGGTCTGCAGCCATGTGGGACCCTCCTCCGGTGGCCGGGGAGCAGCCGGGGATCGAACCGGCGCCGCAGAGGCTGCGGGCAGCTTCGCAACCCAGCGCTCAACCGCTGCGCCACTGGGGAGGCCCCAAAAGGCCACTGTTTTCAAGATTGTTTAAAACAAACTTCTTGTCTCTTGGTAACCCATAGTTGGTGAATCGCACAAGGACATAAATATCCTCAGATGACTTCTGTTGTGAAGTGTACTCTGGGGCAAATAATTTTAAGATTATGTAAGTGATAGAAATGACACAATCTTTTAAGATTTTTTTTTTTTTTTTTTTTTTTTGCATAGAACTGGGGTGAAGTCCAGAGGTGTGGGGGGTGAGAGGATTCACCAGAGACAATGGGGAATGGAACAGGCAG